TTTTCAGTAATGCTAGTGTCAGGGCAACCTAATTTTCCCTGAGAATTTCCATATTATCAATGGAAAATGAATTTGGACCAATAGCCACCGAGGGAAATTTCCAGTGTTTTCGCGATGTTACTGTAAACTTGGGAGCCAGAACGACGGACAGAGTACTGCAATCAGATTGGTTGATTTGATCAACCGATTCTCTCGTATTTCCCCTTCGAGAAATATCTAAACTGTGCACAACCCTATAGACATAACAAGCGTCTCCATTATTCAGCACACTTTTCCGGTGTTTCCAGTAAAAGCTTGCATTGTTTGGCAATTGTCTTCCGACAGAAATCGTTGGGAAACATCTTGTGGGATCAGAGTGGCAGACAACATTTAGGACCCGGGCTCAAAACATATTAATCGAATCCAATAAGTTTTGAAGCAGTGATTCCTCAGCAAATCAGTAAAACTCATGTAGCGTTGACATAAGGCAAATAACCACTGTAGGTCCCTGAGAGAGACCATGAAATTTACTTTTCGGACAAGCAATCCTGAGTTCAAGTCCCCATGGATTTGATGAAAATGTATCATTGATATACACCCTAAAATAAGATAAATTTGCAATAGAATCTCATATTCCGTTTTTCACAAACAAATAAAGTGAATAATCGGGGGAAATTTATTCCTCCACTTGACATTCATTCACTCGCTATTTTGTCATACCTGGTCAATAATTAAGTTGCACAATTCTTGTAAAATGATCAGTATACGTCCGGGTTGTCGATAACCGGGAGAGTCGGCCCAAATCAAGCATAACAAATGCATCACCGGTTCAAAATGTGTTCGTAGTTGTTCCAATTCAGCCTGTTCCATATCCTCCAAATAGGGGCGCAAAATGGCCAAATGATTATGAATATCTTGTGCCTCACGTAAAGCTGAAATCAAGCCGATTGAGAACATACTCAGACATGTTAATAAATGCATTTTCGGGATCACAAATCAATGATGTTTCACTGTACATGTACATTAAATAACTGTCCAAGAAAATGTTAGTACTTTTAGATACTTTAAATTAGTGTCTAGATCTCTGACAGATTGTAGTTTACTTTAGGCATAACAAAACGCTCGGATCACGGACCATATCAATTTGTGTTTCTGATTCCCTATCGGATTCTACCGACCGCTGCTCATATTATCGAACGAGGTACACCTTAGGGAACACCGTTTCAAGTTACTGATTCCAAAGTGTCGACTGGAATGCCGGTGCCAATCTTTTGCAAGCAGATTATGCAGTACTTGGAACACCCTTCCGTCTCACGTAGTTTGTGTACCAACTATTGAATCTTTCAAGAGGGGATTCACTGAAACCTTGGTACACCTCACATTTCCACGCAACTGAAGATTGTATTATCTTGGAATGGAGAGAGAACAGTGGTTTTTTGGCGAGTCATACCACCACGTAGCCCGATGGTTCGCAGAATTACGAGAACCTAAAAGATACCTTCGAATTATTGAAACTTGTAAAATAAAAGAATACAAACGATTTGATGATGGGCTTTCTAGACGTAACATCATTGTTTACAAATGTTTCTGCACTAGAATGTATCGATTATTTATGCGACTCTCACAACGAATGATATGAACATTGGCATCTCCTTAACCAATCTGAAAGAGTTATTATTAAGGTGCACAGTTAATGTTCAATTTTTATTCGGCGGATATATATGCAGACAAACGGACAAAGTTGCTATGGATTCCCCACTTAGACCTTTGTTAGCTGATATATTCGTCGCAAAACTCGAAAATCGGGAGCTCCATGACATGATTGTCTCCCTGCCACTATACTGTCCATATGTAGACGACATTTTTGTTCTGATGGATAACGAAATCTCGTCGGAAATTTTGACAGAAATTTTCAACAAAGCTCATAATGCCATCAATTTCACATATCAGAATTAGAAATGAAGGATGCATTTCATTTCCTTGATGTCAACATAAAAAGGCTTCACGACGGTGGTTTGAGGCAATCGGTTTGTCGAAAACCAACATGAACCGGTCAATATATTCACTTTTCAAGTTTGGACCCAATTAGGCATAAACGGAACTTGGTTCAATACCTCGTAGAACACGAAAGAAAAATTTGCTCGCACGACAGTCTTGACCAGGAATTATAAAGTTTCAAGAGAATTTTACTGGACAATGACTACCAAAAGTGTTTTTATTATTTATAGAAGAAACATCAAAGGCAGTAAATAGCGACGGTAGGGAGAAAAAAAAACTAGTGAAACGATGATTAGAAAAAGCAATCTCCCAAACCTTTCCTGCGGCCTCACTACGCACTCTTTTCGTGAGCCGACCGATGATATCCGTGAACCTTAAAGATAAATTGCCTGTCTATGCCTCATCCATGATCACCTATTCCTTTCTTTGCTCATGTTCGGTAAGATATAGAGGCAGAACGACTAGGCATTTACCCTGAAGAATCAAGGAACACAAGAAAAACGATTTCAATCGCAGTCGTAGCCCATCCTGCAGATACCGGGCATTAAGTTGACGATGACTCATTTCCAATCACCTACATCGTACCATTGGACTCTTTAAAAGTCTTTCGTCAACATCATCTCACAACAACCGAAACCGATTACTAAACCCATCGCTTTGTTCTCAGAAGCGATTCGTACAATCACTCAGACTATCTTGGTCACAATGTGACACATACCCTCGAGACAGATGTGACCTTTCCCATGACCCTACCACTCAAACACGTGATGACATGTCCATATCCTAATCGTTTTCCCAACCGTGTCACGAAAACATCCTCCTAAACTCACCCATTCCCAACCACACATCAAAAGCAATCACAAACGACAAATCACAAGTAGAAAGTGAAGCACATTCTAATTTTAATTTGACTATATAACTGTATTACTCCGAAGAAGTTGTCAAAAACAAGCTTATTCGCTAAAAGAAAACCACAGTGTTCTCTCTTCATACCAAGATCGGAATTTTTCATGATTGCATTATCTGTTATCACCCATTCCCGGAACTCGATGTGACATTAAATCATATTTTTGTGTATCGAGAAACAATTCAACTGTAGAGAGCAGAAAAATATCATCAGATCAAGGTGAGGATTTCGGAAACAACGGGATTGTTAGCATGTTCTTTGTGAAAAAAGGCAATTTGGTGAATTTGTGAAGCTAAGGGTAATTTACCCTCTTATAGTCTTCGAATCCCAATAATATGGAGTATGCTTCAGGAAGTGGATCACCGTTATTACTTAGGCTAACAATATTTATATATGACAGTTTTGTAAACAACGGTGTTGATGGTTGTTTTTGTAGCTCGGGTAGTTTAACTTGGTGTTCAGTTGTTCGCCGAGCTTGGCAATTGTATTGCAAACGTTTCATCACCAATCGAGGTGACATTCTCAATGCAGTAACTGCATTGAGAATGTCACCTCGATTGGTGATGAAACGTTTGCAATACAA